AATCTGAGTAACTCAAACATCATGAGAACTATTAGTTTAATGTTAAGTAGTGAGGGTAGTGCCCCAAAATGCCCTGGTACGGCGAGAGTGGAGAGAGTCCGCTTCCCCTCTTGAAATACTCTCACATGGCCACGGATATAGCCTCTGCCAGGGAAGTCCTACTCACTACCCCTCTCGTGCGGGGTGTTGTTTACGAAATTGAGAGAACGAAAAGCAAATTTTCGGCGCTTTAACCGGGTTGGTGAACATGGAGTGGGAAAACCCTTATTCCAAACCAATGGTGCACATGGGCTCCAGTATGCTGAAGGAACAAATGGCGTATGAACCAATCGTTGTTCACCGGCTTCCATGGGACTGCATCTCCTTACGATGCTCCACTGCCTTGTGGATCAGACCTTCAGGTCGAACGCTCCGGGGTGGCCCTCTAAGAAGACCACCTGCTTCGGTTTGGGCACCCGGGCAGTATCACAGCCCTCACACATATCAAATGAAATCTGTGTGGCGCATATGTATTTGGTATCTCCTTGTATCAATATCTATATTTTAAAATAAATAAAGTTGGGGTAGTTGTCAGGAAAAAATTTCAAATCCGGGTTTCGTGCCTGTTTACACATTTTAACAAGGTGTACGTGTAATATTCAAGGTTTTGATGAAATTCAAATCAGCGTCACTCAGTTTCGTAGTTTAAGATATTATCGCTGATCTATTCAGCTATCAGAATATTTACACATATTGATGTCTGAAGGATAACCAATGTCATGCTTGTCTAATTACTTTATTTTCTGGTCAGATTCTATTGACCAAGTTGAAATATATGATTACTAGTCTAAATATCTTGCTTCTTGTACATCAGTTGTTAAAATTTTATGGTTAAAAGTAATTGTAGAGTTTTCTTTTAGAACAAAAACTTCATTCTCACATATCAATCTTTTCAAAAGCAGACGATGTAATGTGTATGATGTGTTATGATACCTTCTTCAGGCAGTTCGTTTTTCTTTCTTTAATATTACTGATGATTTAATGTATGACATGTTATGATACCTTCTTCAGGCAGTTCGTTTTTCTTTCTTTAATATTACTGATGATTTAATGTTTAAACCATCTGGTTTATTTATCCTTGAGCTATACCAACGGTTCCAAATCACGATTAACCTTCAAATAAGCAGAATAGTCCAGAACCGAGTAAAAATGTGTGTGTGTGTGCGTTTAGTAAATATGACACTTGAGAAGATATACATAATACTGAAGATAATGGAAAGAAGAATAATTACAAAAGTAGTGATAGTTCCTGATAAGAAAATAACAAACACTTTTCATATTGAGCTAGTTAACATTATCTACTTCTTGGAGTGTATTTTTCATCTATTTATTTATTTTAACACATAGATATTGGTACAAGGAGGCACTGAATACATATGCGCCACACAGATCTCATTTGATATGTGTGAGGGCTGTGATACTGCGAGGGTGCCCAAACCGAAGCAGGTGGTTTCCCTAGGGGACCACACCCGGAGCGTTCGACCTGAAGGTCTGATCCACAAGGCAGTGGAGCATCGTGAGGAGATGCATTCCTATGGAAGCCGGTGATCAACGACTGGTTCATACGCCATTTGTTCCTTCAGGATACTGGAGCCCATGTGCACCATTGGTTTGGAGTCAGGTTTTCCAAACTCCTCTTGGTGGACCTTCGTGTCCACCAACCCGGTTAAAGCGCCGAACATTTGCTTTTCGTTCTCTCAATTTCGTAAACAACACCCCTGTCACGAGAGGGTAGTGAGTAAGACTTCTTTAGCAGTGGTTGTATACGCATGGCCATGTGAGAGCATTTCGAGAGGGAGAGGTGACTCTCCTGACACTCCACCGTACCAGAGTATTGTAAATCGGTAAATCAAAAGCAGGGTAGAGCTTAGTATATGCATGTGTTAGCGCAAAGACATAAATAATAAACTAGTAATATTATTGACGGTATCGAAAGGAAAGAATAAATTCGCAGAATAAAAAATGAAGGGCCGAAATTGATCCATCTTTGACATTTTTACCGATTTCTAGTAGTGTTATCTAATACCTCCAATCATTGATAAAAAAAATCGCATAAACCTCAGTCAGATCATCTGCATTTACCTAAACGGTTCAGTCCAACAATCAGTGAGATTTCATGAACCGATTTCAATTAGTTTGGTCGCACCTAGTTTTCTTTATATAACTCACTAATCAAGTATAGATTTGTGACAAATTCCACAATGAGCCTTATTATTGTATGTATCTTTACAAGTTTTAGTTGACTTGAACTGATCACCTGGACTGATCTAAGTGGAGATGGTTTCAAACTTGTAACTGAATGCGTCAACTAGTAGACCTACTACTGTAGATGTATACACTAATTATATCCTTACGGATTTATTTCTACTATTTATGGAATGTTTCTAAATTAAAATCTCTATTTTATATAACTTTAGAAAATTCGAATCGTAGGTAACGTTGGTCAATTAGTCAACAAAAACGTAGAACTTCGTACGTACGTACATCAGTTCAAGCTGTCATACCACATTAGCACAGAGATACAGTTGTCGATTCAAATCCCATAGTGGTAGAGGTAGTAAAAGTATAAGCAGTAATCGGAGAGATTAGAGTTTGAAGATGTTATTCACGGACTATAATACAGGGAAGTAAATTTGAAAAGAGAAAAAAGAAAGGAACATGAAGAATTCAGAAGATTCGAATTTATGAGAACACAGAGTGGGTGCACTTGCGCCATTGCAAGCGATTTTGAACCATGTCATTCAGGGTCTCTAACCATCGGTTACCATCGTCTCACGGTCCCCAGCCAGGGTGTTTACATCTACCAACATGGCTCAGTCCACTTGTCAGTGACTTAATGGATTTGTGCCATGTTTTGGTCTGGCCGCTCCTAACTTTCTTCCAACCTACTCCTACCCCATAAAACATCGCACGTCGTGGCAGTCGGTGGTTGGGCATAAGTAACACATTTCCCAGCCATCTCAACTAATCAAGTTTCACTACTTTATCAATTAATTTGCCATCCTTACCTAGTACCCGTTTCCTAACAACTGAGTTACTTACTCCATGGTCCCAGGATATACGAGCAATGCTTCAAAGACACCTATGATCAAATACTAGTAACCTACGAATATCCTCTACTCTTACCGGCCATGCCTCACAGCCATAAAGTAGGACAGAACGAACTGCTGCGCAGTAAACCCGTCCCTTGGTTGGTAGATGGATGTCTCGCCTACGCCATAAATGACGTAAGTTGGCACTGGAATCCACAATAGATATATTTCTCGAAGAGTAATCAGTAATTTATCCTTGACGTTGCTTTCAACACTAAGTGTCTCGTATCCAGCACTGTTAGTTGCTTTTTCTTCCATTTAGTGCTTGAGTACTGCAAATTAAAGAGCAATTTCCATTGGGAATCTCACTTCAAGTCT